CCAAATATAATAAATGATATAGGATGTGATGCATAATAAATTAATTTGCTTATTTCTTAATGTTTTGTTTGTTTTAATTATAAAACATTATAAGTATTAATTATATTTCAATTTAATTATGACACAAACATTTCTACTTATTTTATTTCAATTTAATTGAATGGATTTCTACTATTTTTCAATTGTTGTAATTGAAATAAAATCATTTTATATCATACGTTAATGAGCAATAAATGTGATGAATTAAATAAAAGAAAGAACAAATAAAGAACAAAATTTGTAAACAATATTGATAATATAAATATCAGTATTAATTTATTTAATTATATGCATACAAATACAAACAACAAACAAAAATATAAAATAAATGTGTTGGAGATTCAAGTCATTTAGAGTTATTAATAACCAATAAAAAAATAAAATATGATATGGTATGAAGTTGTTTCAGAATAAAGACTAACATTTATCAATAACATTTATCAATTAAATCATTTGGAAATAGACATTTACATAAAATTTGTTGTGTATAAATATTAAAGAAGAATAAACAAATATAGAATATATTTTTTGATGATATTAATTACAAGAAATGAACAAACAAAAAGAAGACAATAACTAACTTGACTACTTTGTTAATTAATGACTGAATTAATAGTTTGTATTCTTATAAAAACCGACAATAAACTACTAACTATTGATTTCTATTAATATTACAGTTGATATATATTTTATATTAATCATGTATAATTTACTTTCTCCATCTTCGTTTATTTTCGTTTTAGTTATTAATATGAATTTAAACTAGATTTAGATGATTTACTTTTGTTTTATTATTTTCCTTTTTCTTAATTTACAAATTTCATATATTTATTCTTATCTTTTATAGTCTCTTATTTCTTTTATTATTCTTTTGTATGTTATATTTTTTCTTATGTTCAATTCCTATATTTATCTTTTATTGTATTTGTTTATTATTTGTTGGTTTTTCTTGTTTCTTATTAGGATATACTTGATTTACTACATTTTGTTTATTCTAATTCATTTTATCAAGTATTTTCTGTTTTGATATCTTTAGAATCTATTATATTTCTTATTTGTACTTTATTTTTGTGTCTTGTGTTATTATTATTTCATGTTTTGATACAATTTGTTCATCAAATCCTTTATTTCTGTATATTTCTTTTGCTATGCTCCAGTCAATTCTGCATATTTTTATATGGTTTAAGTATCAATAAAATGAATGTAAATGGTAGTATTTCATAAAAAGATAGTCAGACACCCTAACATCACCTCTTGAACCTTCTTTGGAAATTTCTTTCCTTAGATTGTTTCAAGCCGTTCATTGTACATTTGTTTCCAACTGTTTATCTCCCGTTGGTGCTGTCGGTTATTTAGTCTTCATCCTATTGTCTTGTTGTTATTTTTAAGACGGATAATGGATTGACTGTACTATAGAAATGATCCTAAGAGTACGGTCTACTTCTTTTTTCTCCTTCTTCTTCTCTTGACTCTCTCACTATTTCTTTATTAATTATGACTTATATTTAGGGTTTTTACTATATTTCTAATTTATTTTAATTATTCTTATTATTATTTTTTTTATTGCTTATATCCTTTTCATTATCTTATTGTGCATCTCTATCTTTTCTTTTATGAGCCATACTTGCTTATAACATGATTGGTAGTTTTATTTCAATAGATGATTATCCACTTTGAAAATATAATGATTTTCACATCAAATATTCTTTAGTATTATTGTGTGTTAGTTCTATGAATTAATTTTCTAAATATTCAATTCTTACTCTTTATACTCTTATTATTTTCTCATTCTTTTTATTGTTTTTATTGTATGTTCATTTTTATGTTGTTTATTCACTCTTATGCTCTCATCTACTTTACATTATTAAAAGATGAATGAATAAATTGTTGGTAATATAAAAGTATATTATTTATTGTATTAAATTCATTTATTCTTCATGCATTTAAACTATTGAAAGAATATAAACTACAACATTTATTTGATTGACTTTTTATACCATTTATTATTGTTATTCATTTGTTAGATGTAATACATTGATAAAATAAAAATAATTGTGATTGATTTATACTACAACTAAATTAATAATACTAATAATAGTCATTGATGTATTACAATTAGCACTGTCATGATTATTATATTTGTTGTCATTATTATAACTAGAATCACTTTCAGTAGTTAATGAACAAATAGTCTCAATATGATTCTGATGTATACACCACGTGTAATTATTTATTGTTTTAATAATTCAAAAAATTCAAAATTACAATTTTCATGTGTTTTAAACATGCATTAGATAGTAATATTATTTTCTATCACATATTTTGTTTTATCATCTCAGTTATTTATTTGAATTGTTTTAAAAATTAGTGATTCTGAAATACATTTAATACAACGTATTTATCTGTTTCAATGAATGTAATAATCCCATGTCTAAATGGAACATCAGTAATAACAACATCAGTAATACTTTGAATTACAGGTACAACACTATTATGTGTGTTTCTTAATCGATTCTTTGAAGAACATAATTTGTTACTTTCTTGTGTTTTAATGTCTTTCTTAAAAACATTCTCTTCAGTTTTAAGATAACTTCAAACAACACAGTTTTATATTTCATATTACTTATATTATTATAAATTGTTTCATTTGTTTCAATACATTTAAATGTTATGTCTGGTGTTTGATTACCAATTGTGATTGTATTTTCTATTATCATCTTAACTAGATCTTTGAAAATACTACACGAGTTTCTATACCATTTTCTTCATATTCAAATTCTGGAAGTATAGAACATTCAACAATAAATGTCTTTGATGATTTACACTCTCCATCATACTCTATTTTCTATTTGTCTTATTAAATGTATTTTCAATAAAGTGATAAAACAAATGTTACAATAACATCAATAGTATCATTGATTGTAATATCATCACATTTATTATATGTAACTTTATTATCACATTTATTCTATTTACAAATGTTGATTGAATCAGATTATATTAATTCTACAATATGATTCAATAAATATGTTGATTATATTGCTTAATTTTTTCCGATTGAGAAAGAAATATCTTTAGTATAGAATTTACGTTTAATATTAATTCAATTTCTAATTTCATATCATCAAATCTATCAATATTACTATTTTTAACTTTATTACATTCATCATTAGTATTGTTTTAATCCATCCAGAAAAATCTGCATTCAATCTTTTCTACAAAACTGATTGAAATAATAAATAATATAAAAATTATTTGTTATAAAAGAAGTTATTCACATCATTCGAATAAAAACATACTTGTCATTTTATCTTTTCTTAAACACTGTATTTGATGAGATGTATTAATTTTTCTACTCAAAATATTTATAAATAAATGCCATAACAAATAAGACTAAATATCAATGAAACACATCAAATATTCAATATATCCTTGATTTATTTCTTTTTTAGAAGTAGTGTTGTGAATTATTTTTAATGGGTACGAAAATTAGCAAAGAAAAAATGCATCTAAATAATTTACAAAAAAGAAAAAAGAAGCAAAATAATTTGCATCCATAGAATATTCAACTTTATTATATTTTGCTCATAAAATAAAAAATAAAAAGTATGATAAATACAGAATATGTAAATATTTATGTTTATATTTTATGATCAATTGTATTCATTTTGTATGAAATATTAATGAAATAGATGATTTGATGAATCATATTTATTTTTATTCTTTTTATTCTTTTATTTATATGTTATTTATCTATCGTATTTTTATATATTTATTTCTCTGTTTATATTATTTATATTATTGTATTCTTATTATTATCTATATATTATTATATTATTCTTATATTATTATTTTTATGTTTATATTCTTTAGATTTTCTTATTGTTATTCTTTTATATTTAAATGTATTTTATTATTTGTTTATTCATCTTTATCATTTTTATATTATTATCATTTATATCTATTTTCATTTTATATTTATTCTCTTTTGATTTATATTAATATTAATTTTATCTTTTATATTTTGATTTTATTATTATATCATTGACTATCATTTCTATATTTATTTATCATTTATTCTTATTATTCTTTTATTTTTATATTCTATAACATATATTCATATCATATTCATTTATATTTTATCACTTATTATATGTTATAATAACATAACACATATGATTGAATATATAATAAACATCATGATGAAGTTATACATATAAATAATAAACATAAAAAATAATACAATATTTTTCATTAATAAAATATTGTTAATTATTTTACACCATTATATTAGACACTTTTATTGAATATTTCTAATTTTTACATTAAAAATACACTTTTTATTTCTTCTTTCTTTTCTTTTCTTCTCTTTTATCATTATCTTCTTTCTTTTTATCTTTATCTTCTTTTTATATTATTTGCTTTTTAGTTGATGAAATTAACATACAATAAAAATGAAAATGGTAAAAAAAAACAAAAAAGAATAGAAAATAAAGAAATATTCAAAGTATTGAAATATGAAATAATCAGTAAAAGTGAATATTTTTAAAAGAATAACCTTTATATAGAAGATAAAACAAATGGAAATAATAAATGAGCAAGGTATTGTAAAACAATTTGAAATGATAACACAAGATATAATAAATAATAATGAATAAGAAATAAATGATGTAAAGTGAATGAGTGTAAAAATACATTATGAACATTCTGTTCAATCGAATGAAATGGTTTCAAATAAACAAAATGAAGTAGAATAATCAATATTTCATGAAACACAATTTAATACATTTTCATTTTAGACTTAATAAAAAAAAAGAATAAAAGTTAAAATCCAAATAATTTCAATTTCAATAAACCAATTCTATTTTTAATTGAAATTATTAAAAAAAAATTAAAAATCTCTTATTAATAGTTTATGAACTATTAATATATAAATAAAATTATTAGTTTTAATTTAAATACAAAACACTCAAACACAATGGAAAATAAAGAAAATATCAAAACAGTAACACAAGCAGTTGAAGAGCTTGTTCATTTAGATAAATATCGTACAGAGATAGAAAAGAAACTACAAAACCAAGAATTACGAATTAGTAGCTTAGAGACTAACATAGAATTAATATTAACACAAAACACAATAATGCAAGAGATTTCTAATACTGTTAATGGGAGTGAAGAAGAAGTTAGTGAAGAACTAAGAAAAATAAAAGAAGAAAATGAAAAAACAAGAAAAGAACTTGAAGGTCATGAAATTCAAATAGAAAACAATACAATAAATATAGAAGTACAAAGGTATTTAATAGAGGAAATGAAGAAAAAAATGAATGGTTGCACAATTAATGAAGAAGTTATAAAAGAATTGATACAAGAGGAATTTACAAAGAAATATCTTCAGAAGATAAAAGATGAAATAGAAAAGAACAAGAAAGAAGAAAACTATCGTACAGACAATAATAGTCCAATAAAAGAACAACCTGAAAATAATCCAATGGAAGAACAACCTGAAAATAATCCAATAAATAAACCAAACAACACTGTGGCAAAACAACCACACAACGTTGCAATTATTTCTTCAATAGAAATACCCTTTGATACAAGTTATATAAAACAAATTGAAGAATGGACAAATAGAAAAGTAGGAAATATACTATTTGATTCAGATGTTGATGATTGGAAAGAAGATATATTAATATTTGATAAAAGAATAATAAACAAAGAACATATAATAATTCTTATTGAAGATGAAGATGGAAATAAATTTGGAGGATATGTTAATGAGAAAATTGATAAAGTTGATGATTGGATATATGATTCAAATGCATTTGTATTTTCATTAGAATCAAATGGAATAATGAAAAGAATGATGAAATTTGATATTAAACAACCACAAAATGCATTTAAATTATATAATCAATCACATGATTGTTTGTTTAAATTTGGATATGGATGTGATATTCTTGTTCATAAAGAAAATACTAAAACAATATCAAGTTGTTATCAATGTTCATTTGAATATGAAGGAATAATAAATGCACTTTGTGGAAATGAATGGCCAGAATACTTCACACCAAAACGAATCATAGTAATTGAAATGAAATGATTCAATCTTGAATGATTGAAAATGAAATAAAAAAGAATAAAAACAAAACAATGAAGAATATGAACATTTTGTTCATCTACCAATGAATGAAATAGTAAAATAAAAATTTACATAATTCAATGTTGATTTATTTTATTTCATTTGAAATATTCACACCCAATGATGATATTTTTAATAAATAATAAAATAAATAAGAATAAAAGAGAAATAATATGAAATGAATAAACAATTTATTTGTATTATTTCATTGAATTAATTCATTTGTTTATTTAAAATCTATTTCTCCATTACAACACACAACGAAAATCACTTAGAAATAATTTACACAAACTAATAGATTTATTTGACAGTATTATAGATATAATTAGTCATTATCAAACAAATAATATTCAATAATTATGTTATAATAATTATTTTGATTATAAACATGATAATCAACTCTCATTTAAAACACATTTATAATAAATATAAAAGTAATTAGTATAATCATAACTACACTACTGAAAGAAGAATGTTTAATCAATAATAATATGAGAATAAACAAAACAATTGAAAAGGAATTAAGAATAAAAGATAAAATAAGAAAAAACAAAAGAAAGAAGAGAAGAAGATAAAGAGAAAAAAAGAAGAAATGATAAAGAAGATTGAAGAAGTAGAAAAAGATAAAATGCTATGTATTAATTAATTAAAACAATTGAATTTGATTGAATATATTTTATTTATCATTATATTTAAAAAATGAATGTTTTAAATTTATCAACATCATTATTTAGAATATTTGTGAATATAAAGAAATGAGGTAGTTTGAATGAAGTAATTTTATTTGTATCTAAATAAATTTCATTTTTCTTAAGTAATGTATTGTTATGATACCATGTTACTTCTTCATTGGAATTATTTTGAAATACTTCTAATTTATCATCATATATATCCATTACTTTTCCTTGATAATTAGATATTATTATCTTTTTTTAAGTGACATTTTGAAATATCAATTGATGCTTGACAACTTTTAATTATTAATGATTTTAAATGTGGAGAAATGATAATATCAACATTTTGTTTTTCAACGTCTTGTATTGATAATGATGTTAAATCAATTCTATTTCCTTCATAATCATTTAAAACATTTTCAATTAAAATATTCTGTAAATTGTTCTTTATGATTATTTCATTGATTTCATTGATTTTATTTAATACATCACTTTCAATAGCCATATCACAATTATCTATTAAGAATTGAGATTCATATGGTAATATTGGTAAATAAGGACAATTCATTGTTGATTTATTAATTGTTCTTGTGTAAAATCTACAATTAATGAATTGATTATAATCCATTTGATTTAATATGTTAGTGTTTGAATATGTAATAATAAAAATAATAATGAAGTTAATTTTGTTATGTTTATTAAAATCAAATGACTTTGAAAGAAGTTGAAATTCAATAGTACTACAAATAATAATTACTTTTTTTAATGTTGGTAATTCAAATAATTGTATTAATGCATTAATATCAATTCCATTCATAACAACTAATTCTTGTAATTGAATAAAATAGTTTGGATGTTTTTCTATTACTTTTTTACAATAATATCCATCTATTCGTATTTTCCTTATTTTGGAACAAAACCATTTTGTGTTAAACACTTGTGTTTGTTTGGATTGTTCATTCCATCCTCCTACTTCAATAAGTGGAATATCATTTGCTGTTATTTTGTATAATCTTGATGGACATCTTCTAACATAAAATGTTTGTAAATTAGGAAATAATGGAATAATTTCATCAAATGAATGATGGATTGTTAATTCATATGGATTGACATAAATCGTATTGATTGCTTCTTCACATGATTTACTTACTTGTGCAAATCTCCCTACATCTTTTAATGTTGGTAAATACAATAAAACATTCTTTAAAAAGACATTTTCTAAATGAGTCATTATTTGTTGTTATTTAGAAGTTTTTGTTTTTTAAGTTTTAATAAAAATGAGGAATATTTCTAATATTAGAAATATTATTTGTTATTTCATAACAATAATCAAATTATAAATAAATGATTGATTTTCATTTGAAATTGAATAACACAATATCTATTAATTAATTTATTATTAAATAACTTTCTTGTTATTCAAACATTTTCATCATTTCATTTTTAATATTTATAACATTATTCTTTCATTCATATTAATACGATTAATTAAATATTCAATTAACAATAATTTGATGAGAATTGATTTGAATTAATCAGAAATAATAAAATAGAAATAAAACACAATAAACATAATGAATAGAAAATACTATTCAATATAATATTCATTGAATTAATATGAATAACCACAAATCATTTGATAATAAATTTGAATTATCTTAATAAAGATAATATCTATGTTAGAAGAGAATTTGTGGTTTAAAATATTCATTTATTTAATGTTTGTGATATTTCTGACATAATATTTATGAGTTTTAATACAATTGAAAAGAAGAATAAATAAAATGATAGAAAAGAATAAATAAAAAGAAAAAACAACAATATCAAAAAGTATTGTTTTATTCAATATGATGAAGATAAATATGAAATATCATTTTATCAAAATAATAAATAATGAAATAAATTTAATATATTAATATTTTCTTTATTTTTATTCTATGTCTTAATTATTTGTTATTTTATTATTTCTGTTGATTTCTTATTCTATTAGATACAATCAAAGTAATATTTCTAGAATACTACTGACATTCATATCTATTTTCTTGTAATACTGTATACCAAACATTATAAAATGTTTTGGCTTTTTTATATTACTTATAAATCTATAAAAATAATTTTCAATTTTTCTTATTTCTTTTTGAGTTTAAATACAACGGTGTAACCCTTGTTATTATTCTTTTACTATTTTATTATTATTCTTTTAGTTAATATACTTTTACTATTATTTTATTATTCTTTTACTATTATTTCTTTTTTCAAAAAAAAATTCATAACATCAAACACCACAAAAAATTTTAAAAACAAATAACAAAAGAAAGAGAAATTCATTAATAAATAAAAATTACTTAATTAAGTGTTAATAGATTTTTCATATATTCTTCCTAGTTTAGCCGAGATTAATCACATCCCTGAGTTATTTGTTATTAAAAAAGAGTAATCTCTTTGTTAAACCTATTCTTTATGTTTTTCTTGCAAAATGAGGAAACCACTTCTTTGCTTTATTTCTTCTTATTAAGGGTTTCAAACTTCTTCTGCTTATTTCTTCTTTTTTTATTCTTTTGTTTATTTTCTGCCTTAATTTTAAACATTTTCTTTTTCCTTTTTTCTTTATTTTATGAATGAGAGAAAAGAATATTTCATTCCCATTATATTATTATGTTTAATTTCTTTTAGTCTTACCCACACTTTAGTACTTCCTTATATTACACCATGTAATATTCTATCATAATATCTTGCTACACCCTTTGCAGCATTCCCTAATACATTTCTAATTCAAATACACCGTCATAACCAGAAAATAACTGAGAGAGTCGAAGCTTGAATTTGTATTAATGTTTGTGTGGTGTTTCAGACATGCCACATTTTCTGTCATAACGAAAAATAGAGAAGAAATAAACAAAAACTTATAAAACTGACCAATCAAATACAAATTAAAAAGGTTTAATTCTCAATAATTTGATAATAAATATAATGCAACATCAACAGAATGAGACTGTTTCACATATATTTGACGGTTTTGACAATGAGAATTTAAGAATACTTTTACACAAAATAGAGATATTCGTGTCTAATTATCTTAACAAACACATTGGAAATTTCAACAAACAACAAGATAATTTATATCAACAACTCAATCAATTCAAAAACAGAATGAATGACATTGAAATGTCAGTGATAATGTTATACTAAAGGATGATATTGTAGAAAAAATGAAAGAGCAAATAAACAAACTTGAAACAATGACTGTTGAAAAGTTAAGAGAAGTGAAAGAACAAGCACAACAAGCAAATGAATCTATTACCAAGAGACTAAAAGAACAAGGCAATGATATTGAAACAAATACTACAAGCATAGTTTTTCATGAATCAATGATAGAAGATATTCTTGAAAAGACTCAAACACTAAGTCATGAATATAAAGAATTAATTAGAGGAGTAATTGAAGAAGAAATGACGACAGAATGTTTGACTCAATATGAAAAACAAATAAGTTTCTTAAACAAATCAAGAGACATAGTTGTGAATGAACGAAACACTACATCAATGAGTGATAAAGAAAGTTGTATTATACCTAAAGAAGTGAAATATAACGACTATGAAATAATAACAAAACACCAAATCGAACAAATAGAAGAATGGACAAATAGAAAAGTAGGAAATATACTATTTGATTCAGATAAAGATGATTGGAAAGAAGATACATCAGTATTTGATAAAAGAATAATAAATAAAGAACATATAATAATTATTATTGAAGATGAAGATGGAAATAAATTTGGAGGATATGTTAATTCTAAAATTGATGAAGTTGAAAGTTGTATAAATGATTCAAAATCATTTATATTTTCATTAAAATCAAATGGAAGAATGAAGGGAATGATGAAATTTGATATTAAACAACCCCAACATGCGTTTAATTTATATAATCAATCACATAAATATTTGTTTGGATTTGGAGGTGGATTTGATATTCTTATTTATAAAGAAAATACTAAAACAAGATCAAACTGTAATCCATGTTCATTTAAATGTGAAGGAATATCAAATGCACTGTGTGGAAAACTATATCCAAATCGTTTCACACCAAAACGATTCATAGTAATTGAAATGAAATGATTCAATCTTTATTGATTGAAAATGAAATAAAAAAGAATAAAAACAAATCAATGAAGAATATAAACAGCCATTTCATTTTGTTCACCTGCCAATGAATGAAATGGTGAAATAAAAATTTACATAATTCAATGTTGATTTATTTTATTTCATTTAATGAAATTTTCACACCCAATGAGGGTGTTTTTAGTAAATAAGAAAAGAAATAAGAAAGAAAATGATAAAATAACAAGTAATTAACTAAGTATTAATAGAATTAGCTTCTATTGTTAATGACTCAGGGGAGACTAATCACATCCTTGAGTCTTTTTTCTAGCAGTTTTACGGAGTATGTTTGATTGTGATTGAAGCAGTATTCCATGACATTTATCATGTTTTTTATTACAAGGTTTTTAATTTCTTTCTCGATGTCAATGTCAATTTTTAATTCTTTAATTAATCTGATACTTTCTTTATTTATTAATCCATTTATTGAAATTACTACTCGATTTATTTTTTCATCTTTTATTTTCTCTATTTTCATTAGTCTATTCTTTAATTCCTTATACATATTCCTTTTCTTCAAATAGGCTCAATTAATATTGTGATCAGCCACAATATTCATATCAAATAATATACCAGTTTTGTTCTTTTTATCTAATACATATATATCTGGTATTTTGTGATATTGTCATTCACTTTTAGGCATTATTTGTTTGTTCAATATCATTGTGATGTTTTTATATTAGAACACTGTTTCATATGGGGATATTTTATATTGTTTATTTCATGTATATTTTCTTATTAATCAATATTATAATGCCGATATTGTCATGTTTTTCCATTTGTGATTTTTTATTACCAATACAAGATAGTAGAATGTGTTCTACTGTTGTAATCTTGTCTTTACAAAGTGTGGAGTATTTCAATCTTTCATTTTTCATTATTTTTGATTTTCTATACACACAAAATATTGCTCCATCTTGCATTTTAGTTAATTAGAAAAATGTATTTTTTTTAATATTGATGGATTTCCATGCTTTCATTGTAGTAGTTTTATATACTCCTTTTGACTCGAACCATCTTCTAAAATATCTACTAATTTGATGACACTTCCATTTTTTGATGTATTTATCATTAATTTCATTGTGGATTATTCAAATTTCTTCACTACTTTCTGTCATTATTCTCAAATCATCCATATATAATGTGTGATTTGATTTTGGGAATTTCTCTTCGATGATTTGAGAAATTACGTTCATCTGAATGATGAAGAGTAGAGGGGATAAGGAATCACCTTGTAAAATTCCTCTATTTAATTTAATACTACCTAGATATTCATTAAATTTATAACCGATGAATATCTTCAATCTAGTCATCATACTTTCAATAATGTTAATGATGACACCCTCTACATTAAAATATTTTAATGATTCAATTACCCATTCGTGGTTTACTGTGTCATATGCTTTCTTAATGTCATAATATGACTCCACATATTTTGGGTATTTCTCTTCTTTCTGCTGCTTTAACATATAACTATTAATTATTCATTCTTTAGCAGCTAAAGATTGTAATTTACATCCCAGTTGATTACTACTGATTTTAAATGATTCATTATTCATGTTAAGTCTTCTGTGAATCTTTTCTTTTAATATGGAAGTAAATACTTTCATAATTACATTTGTACAACTGATATGACGATAATTAATGACGTCGTTCATATCACTTTGTGGATTAATAAAGTTCTTCAACTTACCATATCTAATGAGATGTTTTCATGGAAGTTCAACCATTCATTAAAGATATTGAGAATGATTTCTCTTGATGATGACATCCTTTTCCAATAATACCCATATATAATGTCTATTCCTGGTGCTTTCCAGTTATTTATTTTCATTATACTTAAATTTATTTCATTTATTGTTATAATGACACTATCATAATTTCTATATCTTTCATTCAATGAGGTGATTTGTTTTATTTTCCAATTTTCTTTATTTAATTTCACCCGTGTTTCATATAACGATTTCAAATATTCTAAAGTAATATCGTTATTTGGGTATATTTCATTTTTTGTTTCTTCCATATTCTAATTTTCTTGTTAGAATCAAACATGATTTTATTTGTATTGATTCTG